GTGTATTTAACGCATCATTATATGACTGGTCTTGGAAATGACGCACCTAGAAATCATGCACGATTTATGTGTGCGGGCGGTAGATTCATTCGGTAATGTAGTGTTTATTTAAGGACTATGTAATGTTCTCGCATGCTAATCCGGGCATGTTGTCATGGACATATAGACACCTGTTTGAAGAGGTGGTCTATTTCAGTTAGACGTGATTCACGTACAAACGGAAAACAAAAATGACGTTCGATCGCACCTAAAATATCGTAATTCGCCACGTAGAAAATATGTTTGGTGAAGGTATTGTCATCAGCGGGTGCGTTGTGGGCTTAATCACGGCGGAAACTGCGGAAGGGAAACCCTACCTTTTGCGTTAGGTCATGTCTGGCAGGATGAAATGCACACATACATTGTTCCGTGTTCGTTGTTGTTCCTTGGGTCAAAAAGAGAGTGTGATTAATCTACCTTTAACAAGCGACACGGGTAATCTCCTTATTTGGACGGTTCTGAACAAACAGCGTTGTGCAATGTTTCATTATCTAACACGCTCGAGTGAACGTACTTTTTAACTTCCCACTTTCATATGAACAGCGATGGGCATGCGTGGAGTTTGTCAATGAATCGTCTTGGAATGACAAAAATGAACCCCATATCGGGGATTTAGTGAAATTACGCTTTATGAAATCAGGAAAGGTCATGAGATAATAGTTATTACAAATGACTTGACAGGAGCATTCGGACATTTTATGTCATACATGTGCATTCACGGATGACAGAACGCCAGTGTAAGGAGCTTGACGACAAAGCCATGCATATGAGCATAGGAGTGCTGGGTTTTACTGAGAAGTGCTGTGTCCGTTGTTGTCTGACGTCACAGACACGTTTAGTTGGATGTGGTGGAAAGGGCAAGTTTTTGCGTATTTACGGCACGCACCTGTCATTTCCTGATAGGCATTGTCGATTGGAATGCATAGCATATATAGGCGTATACACAAGTGTTATGGTATGGGCATTTAATAACGGATGTCATGTCGGCCTCAGTTGATTTGATTAAATGTACACCATTTCAAAATAAAATATAAAACTCAAAGAGGTGTGTGTTATGTAGTTCAAATGTCAATAATACAATTATGTAATATATTTATTATCAGGGATGGACAAGCTGATATGTGTCCAGAATATTTTTTGAGAGTGACAGAATATATAGATGTCTAGATAGATAACATCAACCAGAGACCATATAATCTATTATATGGTCTCTGCATCAACTTAATAAAGGATTAATAATAATAATAATAATATTTCTACTATTAATGATGATGATAATAATAATAATAATAATAATAATAATAATTAAAAAAGAAGAACAATTATAATAACGATAATAATAATGATATTAATGATAATGATATTAGGGATTCTGAATCACAACATCTCGAGACAAAGGAGTATGATGGAATAAAAACTTATATTATTATAAATAATGATGATGATGATGATGATATGGATTCTGAATAAAAACATCTCGAGAAAAAGGAGTATGAGGGAATAAAAACTTATATTATTATAAATAATGATGATGATGATGATGATGATAAAAATTAAATAAATAATGATGAGCGGAATAATCACTGATTTTCCCAACGTTGCATATTCTTGTGATACAGGAGCACTGTAGTTATTATACAGCTTGTTTGAAGTGCCTTTCACTGCGACACCAGGGCAACATCTTGTTTCCATGAGTGCATACTCAGATGACCTGCTTTCATCAAGTCGGAAACTTTTCGGAAATAATTTATAAATGACAATCAAGAAAAAGCTGGGTGAAGCTGATTGAGAAGGGAACATAAAACACAAAGCTTCAAATAAAGGAAAAGGTTTGGTCTAGGAAGCCCTTCAGAATATGACCCAACCCAGCTAATATTTCTCCGAGCGTTGTGCGACCACTAATTTATTGGCTGCACAGCACATGTGAAAACAGGGGAAGTATGAAGGGTTTGTTTGTGATGGTGGCTGCGTAATGCATTGCTTGACATGTACCCAATTACACAGGGACTCTGTCAGGCTTGTGTACTTAGGGTTTACAAAATATGTGAATGATTGACAAAAGTCTGGATCTTGTACAGCTGAGAACTAGAACAATGACCTAATGTGGATGATGGATGGGCTAGAATGTTTTCATAAGATTTGACACGTTTAAAAAAACTAACCGAAACGTCGAAAGACAAAGTGTTCACTAATATATTTGAATTTAAGATTATTTAATATGTTTTGAATTTAAGATTATTTAACTGTGGTTGACATGGTAAGTTAAATTCAATTTGTTTTGAGACTATTGATTTATTAACGTTGCGTAATGTTTGTGAGAAGTTAATCCTGTCGTCTGGTTGAACCCTGCTGTACCAGAATACAAAGAAAGGCCATAAAATATGAAAACTAGTTAGTGTCTTGATTTATGCCGCATTCTGCTGTATGACAGAGGTCTGTAAGTAATTAAAAATTCATATGGGCAATGATCCATGCCGTCAGGGTGGGATGACCACCTGGCCACCTGCCCGTCTGACCACCTGGTCCATGAGTCGACTCTTGCGACCAGATTAGCTTGCTGTCAACCTGGGTGCCCTTGTACAAAACAACCTTAGCGCCTCGACTGTCGTAAGTCTGTGTTAAGGTATTGGTGTTACGATCAACAGCACAACGGTGTGCCACAACGGCACCCTGTTCTAACCCAGAATCCCCATCGGCTGAAAGCAAGCAGTAGTAAGGATAGTAGTATTTTAACTTACACATGCACAAATCAGTATAGTGATCCCTATAGTGGCTGAATGCTTCTGTACACCAGTCCACAGTCCATAGTCAGCAATATTCCAGGTCTATCTCCCTAGTTCGAGTCTGGCCAGGCAAACCATTGATTCACAGTGGCAGTGATAACATGCAACCAACCCTAACCACCCTAACCAACCAATTGTAAGTCTTGTCCAGTCGTATGACAAGCATGGGTTCTGGGAACCTATTCACGCACTTTAACCAACCAATTGTAAGTCTTGTCCGGTCGTATGACAAGCATGGTCCGGGAACCTATATACACACTTTAACCATCCAATCGGAAGTCTAGTCCGGTCGTATGACAAGCATGGGTTCTGGGAACCTATTCACGCACTTTAACCAACCAATTGTAAGTCTTGTCCGGTCGTATGACAAGCATTGGTTCTGGGAACCTATATACACACTTTAACCATCCAATCGTAAGTCTAGTCCGGTCGTATGACAAGCATGGGTTCTGGGAACCTATTCACGCACTTTAACCAACCAATTGTAAGTCTTGTCCGGTCGTATGACAAGCATTGGTTCTGGGAACCTATATACACACTTTAACCATCCAATCGTAAGTCTTGTCCGGTCGTATGACAAGCATTGGTTCTGGGAACCTATATACACACTTTAACCATCCAATCGTAAGTCTAGTCCGGTCGTATGACAAACATGGGTTCTGGGAACCTATTCACGCACTTTAACCAACCAATTGTAAGTCTTGTCCGGTCGTATGACAAGCATTGGTTCTGGGAACCTATATACACACTTTAACCATCCAATCGTAAGTCTAGTCCGGTCGTATGACAAGCATGGGTTCTGGGAACCTATATACACACTTTAACCATCCAATCGTAAGTCTAGTCCGGTCGTATGACAAGCATGGGTTCTGGGAACCTATTCACGCACTTTAACCAACCAATTGTAAGTCTTGTCCGGTCGTATGACAAGCATTGGTTCTGGGAACCTATATACACACTTTAACCATCCAATCGTAAGTCTAGTCCGGTCGTATGACAAACATGGATACCAGGAATTTCATCTCCCCCTAAAATCCTCTTCGTCTTAAAAAGCCAAAAGAAACGTGAATACCATACATGTTGGTTAATATATGAAGACTTACTCATATTCAAGAGATATTAGATTGGTTGGATGCTCAAATTAACATACTGGTCTGTTGTGTGAACCGATGCTCATGAATGCATCACATGTGTGGTCATAGATCCATGACTCGAGATGCACCATTTGTATTTGCAGGACGCGCGTGAAAAGTTTGGAAATAACATGCAGCTTATCATGATAAGTGTAAAGTCATTTGTGGTAATACTTGACTGATATAACTCCATAATTCCAGCCTAGTTCGGCAAGGGTGGAAACTGGACTAGTCAGTTACCCCCCCCCCCCCTTGCCTGTAGAAACTGGACTTTTATAGTAAGTTAACCCCTTTGCCTGTAGAAACTGGACTTTTATAGTAAGTTAACCCCTTTGCCTGTAGAAACTGGACTTTTATAGTAAGTTAACCCCCTTGCCTGTGGAAACTGGACTTTTATAGTCAGTTAACCCCCTTGCCGGTGGAAACTGGAGTTTTATAGTCAGTTAACCCCCTTGTCAGTGGAAACTGGACTTTTAAAGTCAGTTAACCTCCTTGCCTGTGGAAACTGGAGTTTTATAGTCAATTAACCCCCTTGCCCGTGGAAGCTGGACTTTTATAGTCAGTTAACCCCCTTGCCTCGGGAAGATGCCACTTCTGGAAAGCAAGACTCCTTGTTGTTTTGGGTCAGAATGTAGGCCCCTGCCACTGTTATGTCGAAGCTGTACCATCTTTTAACGCCTTTTGGTATGACGAGGCCGGGGATCGAAACCCCGAACCTTCCGCTCTCCGGGCGGATGCTCTACCACTTGACCACGGAGGCTGTCCCTGACGACAAGACTGTAGATGCTCCCTGTTCAAGTATGTTTTTGAAAACCAAAAAGACAGTTAACCTCCTTGCCTGTGGAAACTGGAGTTTTATAGTCAATTAACCCCCTTGCCTGTGGAAACTGGACTTTTATAGTCAGTTAACCCCCTTGCCTCGGGAAGATGCCACTTCTGGAAAGCAAGACTCCTTGTTGTTGTGGGTCAGAATGTAGGCCCCCGCCGCTGCTATGTCGAAGCTGTCCGCTGTGTTCAAGATGGTAACTCTGTCATGCTTTTTCAGGCTGCTGATTGGAGCGCCCAAGGCCCAGACCTCGCAGCCAGGAATTACCAAGGGTGGAGCAGTTTACAGGTGTACCACCAATAGGAAAAACTATTGTCATGAAATACCTTTTGACGAAAGTGGTAAGTGTGTCTACAATACATCGATCTTAGGCCAGATTGATTAAGATCTTGTTTTATGAATATACCAACACGAAATATTGAAAAAATAAACCTTAAAATAGGTTTTCATCCTGTTTTTGATTAAGTAAATGCTTATGTAGCAGGGCATGGAGTCATCCCACAGATGACATCCTTACCTTGTCATCTTGCTGACGGGGTTAACCTCTTTGGTCATGTGAGTCCGACCTCTGATCAGAAGGTCCGTGGTTCGAATCCCATCACGGGACTCGGAAATTTAATGTCCGCTACACTTATATTGAACTTTATTGTGTTTTTGCTTCAACCTTCTTCAAAAGCTTCAGAATTTATTTCTATTCATTCCTGACAATATCATGTGTCCTGCATCTTGGTTTGATATGGGCTTGGTTGGGTCCTGGTATGAGTCAGTTATATGCAGGTATTTATCTAGAATTACTTTAAGCCCCCACATCTACAGCCAGTGTCAGTTAAAATTCCCAGATGGTAAGGAATACCTTCCCCTATTCATGTAATTGTAATTTGTGTTATGGCTTGGGAGAGGGGCTGTATGTATCTCTTTGATAACCGTACCAGTTAAAAGGAAGTGGTTTTAAAGCCTACTTTATCATTATTGCATTCAAGTTAAAATAACTCTGAATTTTAAAAATATGAACTATAAGAAATGTCTCAATGTTACGCAAAGTAACAATTATTTTCCAAATTTGCTTGCCAAGGGCTCTTATTTTGGAATTGTAGTTAAATCCCTTATTCCAGTGTACAGACCTGATGACAAGGTGAGGTGAGGTGAAATGGGGTTTAATGTCGCATCCAAGATTATTGCACTTACATAGCGACGTGCATGCATGGGTGTATGTGTGTGTGTGGCTGCTTTGTACAAGACCGGACTGATGCCGATTTATAGTGCTAGCTCACTGAGATACCATGCCGCAGTTTAACATGAATACCCCACTCAGACACAGTATACTGACTCCGAGCCGACCAGTCCTTGCTTTAACCCCTTAATGCTGAGCGCCAGACAGGATAACAACAAGTACCATCTTTTAACGTCTTTTGGTATGACGTGGCCGGGGATCGAAACCCCGGACCTTCCGCTCTCCGGGCGGACGCTCTACCACAAGACCACAAGACCACAGAGGCGGTCCCTGACGACAAGACTGTAGTTGCTCCCTGTTCAAGTATGTTTTTGAAAACCAATGAGACAATGTCTACGTTTGATATTATATTTGTTATCTGTGATTATATATTACCATTATTTACATTTTTGACATTTTTCTGTTTGCTTTTTCAGGAAATAATTTAAAATATGTAGCTAGGACCCAAGACTATAGAGAGATAGACGACAAGTCTAACCAGTGGTTTGGAGCCACTGTACGGAGCTCGGGACAAAATGGAGTCATTGTGGTAAGTTACGAGTTTCTGTTTCCATCAAAAGTCTACTCATCCACTTGTTTTCCTTTCAGCCTTGTTACGATGGTTTGATGATGTCAAGCCTCAAACTTTTTATCCAAGGAGCCACCTGGCTCCTTAAAACTTTTTTAAAGGAGCCAAATAGAATTTCAAGGAGCCGAGGCATAATGTAGGGATCCAAAAGGGATCCAAAAGGGATCCAAAATCCCAATTTGCATTTGGGATGTGTTATATGACTTCAAAGTGATACGACACAAGTATAAGTGAAGACAAAATTCTTTGCGACATCAGACTCAAGCTATATATACATTATGGGCAGATATTGACAAATTAGTCCCTTCATAGTTAAGATACTGGATCATGTTTGTAGACATTAGGGGGCATGGATGGCCCAGTCGTCTAAGTTGCCGCACTTCACTGTGCAGAGTTTTGTTCCTTGGGCACGCCCAGGAACTCCTACTGACACTCTTCATCACATCTGACAAAAATACACATTTTGCTAAAAAAATGAATTTATATATTTTACAAATTATTGGATGGAATCTCTGTTAAAGAAGTGCTGTAAAACATGTCAAATAACCCATGACCTATTGTCATGCTATCATCACGACATGATAGAATATACTATGGAATTTTTAACAAACAAAATGGTCTTTTCTTTTGAGGGTTTTGGGGGTCTTTAGGAAGATTTTATGTTTTGGTACCAGTACACTCATGAACAAAAAAATCAATTGCCCCTCCCTACCCATTTTCCCAAATGACTGGTCCCTAGAGCTACATTACCGACTGTGTAGCCCCTGTGTCTGAATGTCAGACTGCAACAACACCATATATATGTTCAACTGGGTTGAACCAAATTATTCTATGGTGATCTCAAGTGGGAATTACACTGTTACAACAGCTCAACTATCTAAAACCTGGATTTAATGTGTTTACATACATTGGGTTGGGCAAGCCGTCCTCAGTGGCCTCAATATAGAATATTACTACCAAAATATATAGCATATCTCAAGGCAGACTTGAGTCACGAGGTTATATACGTCCTGGGTTGAACTGGGACCTCCTGTTTCCTGTACCATAGAGGTTGCAGTGAATGCACCCGTGTAAATCACAGCCCTTTGGGTTAATCCATGCAGCATCTGTGGACAATACTGCATCTCACTTGATAGACTTTCCAAATCTCTAAGGCAATAATGTTTAGTTTATATCATAATTTCTAGATTATGTAAATAATAACATGTTGTTGCTATAAGAGTCCATCTTCCCGAGGCAAGAGAGTGTAACTGACTTTAAAAGTCTAGTTCCCACCCTTGCCGAACTAGGCTGGAATTCCTGGGCTCGATCGTAGCACCACCAGTGGATATTAGTTATATCCCTTCTAAGCCTCTCCTATGGACCAATCAGATTCCACCTCCCGTATCACTTGCATTTGCTTCAAACAAAATGGCGACACCCAGTCAAGACGATCTGATCAATAATCAAGATCTATATTGTGATAAAACAGGTCTTACATCGTGAAATGCATCAAATCACATGAGCACCTTGATTAAAAACATGAAAAGATTTGTAAAATATCTGTTGACAACGAGTGGGCGGTACATATGCTTTGCAAATCCTTCAATCGACCGAAATCTGCTCGTAAGTTTACGAACCGGATTTCGATTTCATTGCGCGATTTTGCACAGACTCGTTAGGCCAGCCAAAATGTAACTCCATAATACCAGCCTAGTTCGGCAAGGGTGGAAACTGGAATTTGATAGTCAGTTAACTCTCTTGCCTCAGGAAGATGATAAGAGTCTGGAGTCCTCCGAAATGTGCACAGATCTAATGCCTATAAGAAGATAGAATTACTACACATCCATGGACTTTTCTTTCAATACAGCCTTGGAGCAAGGCTACTGACTTATCAAACGGGCAGTTGGATATTGCAGGTCATCTGGTTAGTGGGAGGATCAGAAGGTATTTTGCAGTCTTGTTAACAAGTTACACATTGTGTCTGTGTTAGCAGGCGATTATACACTACTGGATTTATCGATGTCATAAGACCTGAGTAAGACGAGTCAACTCGCGTTTGAGTTTAATCAAACTTGCAAATTTACTTGAACCAAGTCCTCTTTTAATCTCTAGGTTCAGTCCCAACTTGGTACAAGTCCATGGTTCCTGCTGCCTTGACTGTAGTATAAACTGTAGTATTGACTGTAGTATTGTACCTGTGAATATCTGGGTTAGAATAGGTCTTCAGCAACCCATGCTTGCTGTATAAGGCGACAATGCTTGTCGTAAGAGGAGACTAACGGGATCGGGTGGTCAGGCTCACCAACTTGGTTGTAATATTGTAAAAGTAATTTGTAACTAACGAGACAGCATTCTGTATCTTTATATTCAGATTATCTACTACAAAAAATTGAAAAATTTTACGTATGAATGGCAAAACAGTGGTGAAAGTGTGTGTGTGTGTGTGTGTGTGTGTGTGTGTGTGTGTGTGTGTGTGTGTGTGTGTGTGTGTGTGTGTGTGTGTGTGTGTCTGCACATGGTCGTCACTATTTAAAATGGAAACTTCCTAAACCTTAACAGACATGGTTAACTGCCTCCTACAGCAGTCATCCCCATGGCAACCATTTCCTCTAATGGACACGTTCTTCAGGTGATAAATCTGGGAAGTGATTGTGTGCAATCCTCTGTGGACCATTTTCTAAACTCAACAGAAATCTTTACAACATAAATTTCATGTGACCACTTAGAGAGTACATCAGATCACTGGATTGTTTGGTTTTGACTTGATTTTTTACAGACCGCCGTCATATAGCTGGAATATTCCTGTGTACGGCGTTAAACAACAAACAAACAAACATCAGATTGATAAGATGTTCAAAAGTATTCATAATATGATGAACAATTATTCTTAATAACATTTTGTAATGTTCATATTATATTGGGTGGAAATTGGAAGTTATGTATTTTACACAGGGGGAAGAGTCTGCCACCCATTGACCCCCTTCAAGATTTGTGTAATATAGTTGACGTTAATTAGAAGATATATGGTAGACTGTCATCCCTCCTGGGCGTCCTCTATTTCTGTAGCCAGGGTGGGGTTTCTACAACTTCCCCAACTTTACTTCTGGTTTAAGCGCGGTTGTGAAAACAGACCGTGAACACCGAATCCAGTTACATCTGCGGTTTTCCTCTGAGGAGGAATCTCAGGTCACAGGTCCTGTTACAGGTCCTCAGGTCATGTCATGTGGCACAGGGCACAGCCTCAGCCTCAGCCTCAGCCTCAGCCCCAGCCTCAGCCTCTAGAACAAAGGAGAAAACTTGGGAACTGGTACAACTGTTTTATGACATTCAGAAAGTGTAAGAAATCTGGGTGTAACAATCCAGTCCAACAGTATAGTATGACCAGTATGGTGTCATTGTTGACAGTGTAGGGGTCGCAACAATGTGATCATTCATTGTTTCCTCATTTAGTTGTACATTGTATTCCCATTGTTTCCTCATTTAGTTGTACATTGTATTCCCATTGTTTCCTCATTTAGTTGTACATTGTATTCCCATTGTTTCATCATTTAGTTGTACATTGTATTCCCATTGTTTCATCATTTAGTTGTACATTGTATTCCAATTGTTTCCTCATTTAGTTGTACATTGTATTCCCATTGTTTCATCATTTAGTTGTACATTGTATTCCCATTGTTTCATCATTTAGTTGTACATTGTATTCCATTGTTTCATCATTTAGTTGTACATTGTACATGGTTTTACGCTGTTTATCCGTATATAAGAGAAACATGGTATAACACTGTATATCCGTATATAAGAGAAACAAGGTTTTACACTGTATCCCAGTGTATGAGAAACATGGTTTTACACTGTATATCCGTATATAAGAGAAACATGGTTTTACACTGTATCCCAGTGTATGAGAAACATGGTTTTACACTGTATATCTGTATATATATATGAAACACATGGTTTTACACTGGATATCTGTATGTAAGAGAAACATGGTTTTACACTGTATATCAGTATATAAGAGAAACATGGTATAACACTGTATGTTCGTATCTAAGAGAAACTTGGTTTTACACTGTATATCTGTATATATAAGAGAAACATGGTATAACACTGTATGTTCGTATCTAAGAGAAACATGGTTTTACACTGTATATCAGTATATAAGGGAAACATGGTATAACACTGGCTAACAGAGGCCTGGTAGACCAAGTGAAGCAATGTGTTAGTACTTGCCCCACAGACAACTGTTTATAATAATGTGTCCCCCTCTGGGGCTGTTATCACGCCCTATGTCCTATTACGTTGCCCCTGTATGTACCTTTGACATATACGTCATGATGATCGTAGTTCACCCCTGCTTGCAGTACTTACTGTGTCACCTTCCACCTCTCACATTTCAAATATTTTTTATTTCTAAAATACGTTGAAGAAATATGTGTAGTTTGTTTTAAAACTTCTAGCAGCAATTTAAAATAGCATGATAAATGCACCTGTTTACTTGGAGGATAAAAAAAGGTGAAATATTGTAAAAGTAATAAGTAACATCGAGACAGCATTCTGTATCTTTATATTACAGATTATCTACTACAAAAAATTGAAAAGTTTTACGTATGAATGGCAAAACAGTGGTGTGGTGTGTGTGTGTGTGTGTGTGTGTGTGTGTGTGTGTGTGTGTGTGTCATGTCATGAGGGTCTGACTGTCTGTCTGTCTGTCTGTCGTCTGTATGTATGTATGTATGTATGTATGTATGTATGTATGTATGTATGTATGTATGTATGTATGTATGTATGTATGTATGTATGCATGCATGTATGTTTTCTGAATGTAGGGATGTTAAATGACCATCAAAGGGAGATGGCTCCCTGATATTCGTAGAGAAGGTATCAAATATCGGTACACCCTGCTGAAGGCGGAGGGGGGAACTCCACTCCAAGGGGAACCAGAAACGGTAACCATGGTGATGTGTAGCCTGCTCTTTAGT